TTTCAGAATGTGGTAATTTCAGAATTTAAGCTCTCAATTTCTTACATAAAAAAGTTTACATTGCAGATAATGCCTCTTGATTTTGTTATCAGTGAATATCCTCAACATTTTTTTTTTTTTGAAACAATAAATCACTCAAAATCTTTGAGAAGCCGTTTTTCAAATGTTACTTTTCCTGGGTTGTTCTTTCTCTGATTTCTTCCCTTTGGTCAATACTTTACCCCACCTTACAGCTCTTGTAGTGATTAGGACATAGCCTTCCCATTACAATAATTATTTATTGGTATAACAAATGCTTTGCTGCTAGATTAGAAGTGCTGCTGTAAAATGCTGCTTATCATCTCATTCTATAAAGGTATCCTGTTAATCCCATAAGATCAACATCTGATAAGGATTTTTCTTTCATGTTTTTTTATCCCCATGTTTCCAAGGATCCTGCCCTGCAAAGCCATGTACTAAAATTTTGAGTGCTTTTGAAAATCCCTGGTATCACTGTGTAACTGAAGTGTTTCTTTTAGTTTGGGACAGTAGTATTGCCATTATATCTGTGATGGTCAAAAGACAAAGGCAAAGTAAGATGGAGAGTGTCAACGTAACTTACAAGGCCTTTGGCAAGGTGTGCTGGATTGACTTGGTTCAGCAGCCAAGCACCACCCAGCAGCTCACTGTGCCCTGCAGAAGGACAAGGGAGAGAATAAGAAGAACAGAAGTGAGAAAACTCATGGGTGGAAATGGTTTAGTAAGCAAAGGAAAGGGGAGGAAAGAACAACAACAAAACAAAACAACAAGAAAAACAAAACAAAACAAAACAAAAAAAAACAAACACAACCACAAGCAATGTAAAGGCAGTCAATCACTGTCCACCTCCCCCAAGCAGACCAGTCCTCAGCCAGACTCTGAGCAATGCTTGTCTTCTCAAAACATCCTTTCTCTCAGATTTTATTGCTGAGTGTGACATCATATGGCATGGAATATCCTTTTTGTTATGTCCCTTCCCAACTTCTTCCACACCCCCAGCCTACTTGCTGAGAGGGCAGAGTGGGAAAAAGTAGGGTCGTGACGCTCTGCAAGTTCTGCTCAGAAATAACCGAAACACTGGTGTGTTATCAACCGTTTTACTCACAAATCCAAAATACAACAGCATACAGGCTACTTTGAAGAAAATTAATTCCACCCCAGCCACACACAGTACAATCTTCACCACCACCTACATCATGCTTAGGTCCCACACTATCCAGTACTTCTCCTTTAATGACCACCCTCTTTCCTGTCCTTTGATATACATGCAAATATCATTCCATCTAAGGGCCACACTTGTAATTTTTTCTTTAAATGTCCATTGACATTTTTTATTCAGTGACTTTGGCTTCATCTGATATGGTGGTCACTCAGGACAGAAGTGGCATGCTGTGTTGAACTATTGGGCACCAAAGCCAGGTCAGGTTGGGTCACTGCTGCACTTGCCTGGCTTCTTGCAAGTCTCGTTCTCTGCTGGTTCAGGTGATTCCTGCTGTAGTACTTCTGATTATACATAACTCAAATCACATGCTATATTCCCCCAAAGTTTAATCTCCTTAAGGTCCACAACAGAGTTCCTGGTCCTTCCACATTACCCATGAAGTGCACCCAGGTCTTTGAGAGAAAGCAATCCCAGTAATGGGTTTGCCTTTACCCAAGGGAAGAGGGACACATGCTGTCTTTCCCAGTCAGTTCTCTGCATGTCCTTGAGGGACCTTATCTCCTTCCACAGTACAAAGGTGTTGAGAGGGGTGTGGGGGGGCAGAACTAGGTTGGTTATCTGATCCTCTGGCTACTAAATTTGCATCCCAATGCCTATGTGTTCCAGTGTAGTCTTTATCAGTCCATTGAGTCATTTAATCTTCCCAGAAGCTGGTATATCATAGAGAATGTGGTACACCCAATTGGTGTCGTGTTCCTTGGCTCAGGACTTAATGATTTTTTTTTTTTTTTTTTTAATGAGTACCATTGCATGACTTGATTCTTTCTGGGCTACTGTGCCACCACAGAACTTGCTTTTCAAGGCCCAGGATAGTGTTTTGGGCAGTGGTACAGGTTACTGGGTAAGTTTCTAATCACCTGGCGGTCACCTCCACCACACTAAGTACATGACACTTGCCTTAGAGTATGCAGCAGTGTGATTTAATTGATCTGCCATGCACCCCCATACAGGGAAAGATGCATTCTCTTCCTAATAACCTAGATAATAATCTACCTGAGCATCTGTCTGTTGATACATTCTCAGGTTACTTGTGAAGGCTTAACTGCTCCAGAAATGTGCCTCAGCAGAAACATGGAAGGGCATTTCTTTCTTTTTAGCTCCCAGTTTTGCTCTGAATATCTCTAGGGGCTGACTGTAAATCTGAGACCAGGGATCTGGAAAAAGTCTTGCGAATTTGGATGATTATTTTGCAGCTCATTTTCTACTGTCTCATCAGGAATAATTCACTTGGATTAGTATTGATTGGAAGTCTCTTTCTCTGTTTTGTTTTAAAATCCGTAAGCCCATTTCCATGCCACATTTTGCTATAGTCATGATGGTCTGGGAATACTGGATAAAAACAGCATTTTTGGTTTAATAAGACTTGGAATGTATTACTTCTGTGTACAAACTTTGTTCTCTCCATTGCTAGATTATTATTCAAATAACTAATGAAAATACGGGCTAGAAAATTAATCAGAACAGACCACTTCAGGACACTATTTGAAATGTCATTTAAGTATGAATGTAAAATATTCATAAGTACTCTTCAAGAACAACTTTTTTTTTTCTTTTTCCAGTTGTGCACCCAAATGTCATTTTCCCCTAGAGCATTTCTTCTGCATTTGTTTCTGAATTTCTATTAGTTCATCTAAAGGGTGTATTAAAATAAAATAAAATACATATATTTGATATTTGATTACTAAGCCAGTTGCCTCATAAAAGAAAAAGAACATTATATTGGGTTTGCCTGAAATATATTAGCCATATTTCGTTTCCATATATGCCTGACCAATTTGTTAGAAACTTGTAATCCTCCACAGTTTTTCAAATATATGGCATATCAGAAAGTATTCAAATACATTGTAAAAGTTCTCAGATTACTGCATGAATTCTCACCAATGAATTATGGGTGAATTTCATCTGGAACTGTTGACTTGAATACATATATTAAATCTAAATGTTCAGCACTCCCATCAGCACCATGCCCATATTGCATTCCTTTTTCCTTATTAAAATTAATTTCATTAGAGAATTGACTGTCATTTACCTTTGTGAATACTCAGGCAAAGAAAATGTTGAATACTTCAGCTCTGTCTGCAGTTTGCCTTCCCTTCTGTTTATTAAATCCTTTTACTCTTCTCTGTTTTCTTCTTACTTCTGACATTTTAACAGAAATTTTCTTTGACATCTACAACTGAAATATATTTCACATACAAATCTACATGAATTTATTCTCCCATATTTATGTTGTTCTTTATAGCAGTCCTCAGACACATGCCATTTTTCCCAGATCTCATAAAATCCCACTTGCATTTTCAGATATTTGAAGTTTTCCTGATGCAGGAACCATAATTTCTCTCTGTGCTCACTGTCTTCAAACTCTTTGAGTAGGATAGTTTACCATTATATATTTAGAATAGCCCCTTTCAAAACTTACCAGTTCACCTGAACTCTATCCCTTACATTATCTTCTCAGGAGGTCTCAGGCTCAGTTCTGAGTTGTGTCAAAGCTGTTTTCCCAATTATTTCTTTCTGTGACATAGCAAAGGCTGTTATTTTATGATTACTTTCACCACCAAATTATTTTCCATCTTTGGGTTGTCAATCAATTCCTTCCTGTCAGGTAGATTTGAAATGCTGCTTCCCTAGTAAAAAACAAAGTCCTATCTTCAGAAACTGAAACTTTGTCCCCAACACTGGCAGTCTGTGCACCTGTTTTGTCTGTATCCTCATACGAGGGATCCATATAATCAAAAGTTATACAGATTTTTAAAATCTGCCTTATTAACTGGCCTTTTGATGCTTCTGATTGTAGTTCAAAGACTCCTTCATGTCTTCTCTTCCAATCTTCTGCTTCACTTAAGATCCTAAGCATGAAGCAGTGTGTTCTTTTCCCTTTTGATCTTTACCCACAGATACAAAACTCTTTCCTACTTTTTCTTCTTTATTTGATGCTATTCTGTTGTATAACAAACATGGTACAATGTTTTCTTTTACTGAAAACAGGAAAATTCAGGCAATAGTATTTATTCATTTTTGATCATCTCATAAATTCTCCCATTCTTAGTCTTCCTCAAAGCTACATGGAACATCTTATCCTGTTTTCTCCTGTTTCTGTGAGAAAACAGGATAAGATGAGATGACAAACAAAAAATCATACACTCTTTGCCAGACAAGACAGAGAGAACCTATTTTTCTCATGTATTTCAAACTCAAAAAGACAGAATCAATAGAAAGATTAAGGCTGGAAAGGACTTCTGGAGGTCATCTAGTCTAAGCTTTTGCTCAAAACAAAGTTCAGAGCTAGATCAAGATGCTCAAGACCTTGTCCTCTTAAGTTTTGAAAATTAGAAGATTTTTAACTCTGTCCAGCAAAATGATCTTCTATATGTTTTCACTTCATGACATAATTGGGCTTGAACATATATTCTATGTATATCGGATGTTTCAGTTTCCTACAGTAGCCGGCAGTGACTGGGAGAGCACCTGAAATGTTTGGTTATCTAGTTGCCTAAAACCTGTTCTAATTACATAGATTTGTTATGAGGAAAGGCAGGGGGAGAAAGTCATGAGGAGACAGGCATCTAGCCTTGGTTTATGATGAACACTTATCTTATCAACCTACTGTTAATAAAGTCACTAAAGCCATAAAAAGCAAGATTTAATTTTAACTTGGTTTACTGGCCTGCTTTAGCAATGGCTAAAGGTGATAGTTTGGAAAAATATTAATCAGAGTTAGCTATTTAAAGTCAGACCTATTTTTTTTTCAGCAGTTTCTGCAGGAAAGTTCATCATCAGCCATCAACCATGAAGGTTCTTAACTACCTCCTGGCCTACCGAAGGTTCCTGCTCATTGTCCTCACCCCACTGCTTTTACTTCCACTCCCACTCATCATCAAAACCAAAGTAAGTGACCTGCTGTGACAGGTAATTATTTTGCAGCTGTATGTCAAGCTTGAGATTCCCAGATCTTTTCAAAATTACTTCATTATGTTTACACTGTGGATTTTTGTTTGTTTGTTTGGTCAACTCAGAGTATTTTCATAGAAATATATAGAAGACAACAGCTGTAATATAAGAAAGATTCTGTGCTGGTTGCATGAAGTTCTGAATTATATATATTTTTTCTTGTTTAGTAAATGTTTTTTTCATTTAACATCACCCATACCACCTTGAAAATCCTGTCCTTACCATTACAATTTGGCTACTTTTAATCAGCTCTGTGTGTTTGACAGTGGAGTTGAACCGACAGATGAAATTACCTTTTTATTTGATGATAGATTTTGTTAAGTTCATCATATACTGTGTTGTCTGACAGCAAATGACTGGAATGAATGTTCTGAGAAATTCCCTCTGGTTCCTAAATATAGCATAGGTTATGGCAGAATACCTTAGTTTTATTTCACTTGAAATAAATTCTGCTGGCATTCAGTAACCCTTGTGACAACTCCAGGCTGATGGAACAGCTATCTTATTATATTAGTGCTTCCATTTGGCACAGTCTGATATCAACAGAATGAAATAGAATTCTCCTGTGATGCGTTATCACACATGCATTATACATAACATGTATAATGAAAATACATTAAAGTCCAGTTCAGAAGTCCTTGCATCATATATAGATAGCTGATACATAGCAACAGGCTTCACACTGTCTCACTTCACAGTTTCACTATTCCTCTCTGAGCATTAAGAATCTGCAAAGTTCTTAATCTGGTAGTACTTAAGTGAGATAAATATTTGTTAGGTGATAAGTGAATCGTCATTCTTAAGTTGTTTCATATATAACACAAGCTTTCCCAAAAATGAATGCTAGACATAGCTGACTGACTTGGATTTAATCTTGATTTCAGTAAGAGGTTCTCAGCCCCATTTCATTCAGTTCCTCTTCTACTGCAAACAGTCTCTGTTGCTGCTAAGTAGTTTCATGTCCTAAACATTGACATTAAAAGATCTAAACCATTTTCTTCAAGAGCAGAAATATAAATCAAAACTACAAAAAATGGGCTTCTAGGATTCTAGAAGAAACTAGGTTCACTTAATCTCTTTATATTTGGGTGCATCCTCAGTTGTTTCCATGTTGTTTACTCTTCCTCCCTCAGCTTAGTCTTTTCTCATTTGTTCTTTATCAGCAAAGAGATGGCTGCATTTTACTGACAGCACTGAAATAAATCCTTTTTTCCAGAATTCTGAATGAAAGTCACTCGCTAAAATTACAAATCTTAAGAACAGTAACTGTGTTTCTTGTCAGGCTTGTTTTTCATATTATATGTTATTCTCACCTTATTGATACTGGTGACAAAATTTAATTGATTACAGAAGAGCCAAAATTTGACTTATTATCGACTGCAAACACTCCAAGAGGTTTAAAAGTTGCATTCTGTGTGCTTGTAGCTGCAGAATGTTTGTAATGGTTGCTTGTATCAGAAAGAGTGCATGTAGCCAGCAGGAGCAAGAAGGATTATCATCCCCCTGTACTCTGCTCTGGTGAGGCTGCACCTCAAATATTGTGTTCAGCTTTAGGTCCCCACTACAAGAAGGACATCGAGGCCCTGGAGCGTGCCCAGAGAAGGGCTACGAAGCTGGTAAAGGGCCTGGAACACAAGTACTCTGAGGAGCGGCTGAGGGCACTGGGGTTGATTAGTCTGGGGAAGAGGAGGCTCAGGGGAGACCTTATTGCTCTCTACAATGGCCTTAAAGGAAGGTGTGGCGAGCTGGGGGTCGACCTCTTGCAGATAACTAGCAATAGGACTAGAGCGAATGGCCTCAGGTTGTGCCAGGGGAGGTTCAGGCTGAAAGTGAGAAGACATTTCTTCTCAGAAAGAGCAGTCGGGCATTGGAGCGGGTTGCCCAGAGAGGTGGTGGCGTCACTGTCCCTGGGGGTGTTCAAGGAAAGGTTGGACCTGGCACATGGTCATGGTTTACTGTGTGATATTGGTGGTAGAGGGATGGTTGGACCAGATGGTTTTGGAGGTCTTTTCCAACCTTAATGTTTCTATGACTCTATTATTTATGTTCATTCATGGTCTGAGAAAGCTCCAGAATGAGCTATACGATTAATTGTGTTTGAAGGAAAAGCAATGTCTTTTTTTATGTCCTTTCATAAGTGGAAGAATTTAAGTCTATCAAAAAATTCTTTAAACCTATTTACAGACTGTTTTGTACCTTAGCAAGATTATCAATAGAAGACAGTAAGTACCCTGAATCCAGGTCTCTCGACTCATACTAGTTCCAGGTGGAGGTAATCTCTCAGCTGACATAGCCGGACTTTTTGCAATTGTGACTTTTTTTTTTTTTTTTCCTTCTGTGTGATCCACTCCTGTTTTCATTGGTGTTATTTGTATTCTAGGAAGCAGAATGTGCATACACACTGTTTGTAGTTGCCATCTTTTGGCTCACAGAAGCTTTGCCGCTGGCTGTTTCAGCTTTGCTTCCTGCATTTATGTTCCCACTGTTTGGTATAATGGAATCCAAGGAGGTAATTTTTTCCTTTTTCCCTATCATACTATAGATTTCAATAACAAAACCTGCAAAGAAAGAACCGGATGGGTTAAATCCATGGATTTGCTGAGTGCCAGTCACAATAGGCCTATCTCAAGCTCACGTGATTTGTATGTGGTTTGTCCTCAGGACTGGTCCATATTTTATTTATTTATTTATTTATTTATTTATTTATTTATTTATTTATTTATTTATTTATTTTCCTAGACTGTGATTCAATGCTTAGATGCCAGTCAATGGGAAAATGAGAGATAGATTTAAGATATCCTTAATGTTACGGAAGCAGTATGATACATGTACAGTAAAGACCCTGTGTGCAAAATCTATCTGCACATCAGAGACGACACCACAGATGATATTTTATATCTCCATGTTTAAAGTTGTTCTTTTCTCTGTTCAATAGGTGGCTATGTTAATAAAAAGCAGCATTTCATTGGTTATTTAGATTTTATGTAAGACATGACTGATGATCTTAGGTTGTTTATACCACAAGCCTTATTTTTCTTTGAGTTTTAACACTGTGTTCTTTGGCACATTGTTATTTGGTTTAAATGAAATTAAGAGCTTTAATGAAATTTTACATGAGACCTTTAATGAAAGTTTAAACCAAAAATCTTTCTCCACATGCATTTCAATACATATCTGTATTGAACTGCTAGTATCAAGTACTAATAAAAAAGAAAACAACTAATTAACATAACTTCTTTGTTTGTTTTTATTTCAGGTGGCATCTGCTTATTTTAAAGACTTTCATCTGTTGCTGATGGGAGTAATTTGTTTGGCAACATCGATAGAAAAATGGAATTTCCACAAAAGAGTGGCTTTGAGAATGGTGATGTTAGTGGGTGTCAACCCCGCATGGTATGTGCTAAACAATGTCTTGGAGGACAATAATACTTGTGGAAAGCTTCGAATTCCAGAAATAATTGCCTACTGCTTATTCTGCAGTAGAAATCCACCTTTTCTTTTCTACTGAAACAAAGTAGATATTTGAAATGATATGATTGATTTGTAGGTGACACTTTATTATTTTGCTGAAATACTAATTATAACACTGAAAGTTCCCTACAGTGATTCTGCTCATAATAAGGAACCTTTTAAGCAGCAACAAAAACATCAAAAATACCAAACAACTGCTGAATCTGTGAATAATGTAAGGGTCCTGTTTCCTAATAATGTTTAGCACTTTACATACCTGATGCCTACAACCAAAAATCTATGCTATACTTTATATTTATCTGTATTTCAGTACTGTTTGCAAAATTCTGGAAACTTCACAAATACAGAAAAGGAGTTGAGATACACAAGAGGGAAAATAAAGTCATAAAAGTTGTGTTGGCAAAGGAAAAACACATGAAGCACAGTGCCTCTATTTATGTTTTTTTCTTTGTCAACTTGTGAAGAAAATATCAAAGGAATAGGAACTTCCCCAGCTGGATGAGGTGATGAGAGAAATGAAATCTTGCACTCTTTACTGACTTGCTATCAACATATATCTTATGAAGTGAAAACTTTTCTTTGCTTGCAAGGAAAGCTTCTAGGAATGCTTTAGGCCCCCAGATTCATCTGTCAGCACACCAGTGAGGCTGCAGATAAGATCTGTAAAGTGAATCTGGCTTCCCAGAATATACAATGTTTATGACTCCTTGTCAGAAAACAAAAAGTGATGGGAAGTAAAAAGTCAGAAAAGTAAAAAGCTAGGTCTAAAACATAAGATACCTCCTGAGTGATCTAACTAATAACACTTCTTGGAAATACTAGAATATTTCTATTCCTTGGTAGTCTGTTGTCCTAAATTTAAATATCACATGTACTTTGTTTTTTCCCACTCCTTCAGACAGCTGGTAGCTTTCTTTTTCTTTCTTTTTTTTTCTTTTTTTTTTTCTCTCTTTCTCTCTTTCTCTCTTTTTCCTTCTCTCTCTCTTTCTCTCTCTTTCTTTCTCTCTTTCTTCTCTTTCTCTTTGACAAAATACTCCTTATATTCTTTTTCTATGGTATGCAGTTATCTTTTGGATGAAATCTTGAAAGGGAGAATACAAGTCAATGGTGTGCTCCACTAACCGAAAACTGCTGAGGAACTTGCTGTGGGTGCAGGAACCTGCATCCAGCTGCTGAAGATACCTGGAGCAGTTCCACAGACAGCTATGTAACCCTGAGGAAGCAGAATCCCTCCTATCTCAGCTCTATCACACTTCCTAATTATGGTAACAAGATGATAAGTTTATGATAAGATGATCTGTGAGGGAGAGGATCCTCCTGCCTCTCAGCATCTATTGCTCATAAGCTATGTGCCCCTGCAAAGTGATGCACACTGTTCTTTCTGCATAACCCCCCTCCTCCACGAGCAGGAGTCCCCAGACAGCTTTTGCACACTGGAGCCACATCCAGCCCAAGGCAGAGATATCACTGTAGGAGTTTCCTGCAGTAGAGAATTGGGAATGCAGTAGTGGGTGGGGTGTAGGACAGCAGGAGTACTTATCCTGACCAGTGTTTTCTGCACAAATGTTTCTCCTGAAAACACAATTCTTCCCCAACTTCCATCTGAGGACCTGATCAAGAACTGAGTAAAGTTAATGGGATTTATAATAGTGCTGACAATTCATGTTGAATCAGGTCTGCCACTTGCAGTTCTGCAGATCATATCATTGTTATGCAATTAAAAGTGCACAGAGGAAAGACAGGGTATCAAGGTATTGAACTTTTTGTACCCATATTGAGAAAAAAAAAAAAAGAAGCAAGTTTGAAATGTTTTTGCCGTTAGCTGAAATGAAAGGCTATGAGAGGCATTTTGAATGCTATTTTTATGTCATAATACATTGCTTACATTATTTTCATATTAAATCTCATTTTCATGTGTTGAGTAATCCATAGAGCTTTTACAAAGCTTTTGATCTAGGCCAGGCAAAGATCTTTTCAGATTGCACAAGTGACTTTTCATAAACTGCTGTACCACCACAGTCCCTTCACTCATGTTTACTGCCTTGCTATGGTGATGCATGGCAGGTGTCCAGTGACACTGCCAACACCTTGGGACAAGAAGCCAAGAGAACTAGTCTCATTTACAACTCCAAGAGATGCATTAAATATGACAGTGTAGTCTGTATGTTAAATTTAACCTAATTTCACAAGCTGTGATGTAGAATATTTGCTTTTATTTTTTTTTTAAGTGCAAATCTGGAGCAACTCTAGTAGGGTAGATGCAGTTCCTATTTTGGAGCAAACTTAGCACAAGCTGCACCAAGACCAGACCAAGACTTATAATGACCTTCACTTTCCCATTTAATATGAAATATAGCCTTTATGGAAGCACAAATAATCCCTACACTGTGAGGTATAGGTTAAAAACTAAGTGCCACCTACTGAATTGCTAATACTTCTCCTTATAACACCCAGACTGATATCCAGAGGATTCACAGCCTAAGTGACTCACAGCCCAGAGTTTTGAGCTAGCTTGTACAATACAAGACTAATAGCATTAGTAGTATAGCCATTTTAAGTTTGATCTGAATTTGTGACATCCATGGCGCTCTTTCTTCAAAGATGATTCATATACAGTATTATTCTGTAGATAAACATTATTTCTTCCATTTCCACTTATAAGTATATTTGACCCTTATAACTCTATTTCAGTGTGAAAATATCTTTGACCAAAATCATTCTAATTCATCAGCTTCCTCAGAGGTCAGTTACAAGCTGTAAATATTTACTGTTTCTTACATTCAAGCTTTCTGTTGAAAAAGCTTTCCATTTATATTAAACAACCCGGTGATAGGAGGTGTTGTTGCAGCAGTAACAGACTCTTCTCTTCCATTCCAGGCTTACACTGGGTTTCATGGTGAGCTGTAGTTTCTTGTCGATGTGGCTCAGCAACACCTCTGCGGCTGCCATGGTGATGCCGATTGTAGAGGCAGTAGCTCAGCAGATCACCACAGCTGATGCAGAAGCTGACATGCTGGAGATGTCCTACTCTAACGGCTCCACCAACCTGGCACTGGAGCTTGACGGTAGGTGTATGGTACAGTTTTTGTTTGCCCACCCTCACTCTGCAGCACACCAAACACCACATAACATGAAGGGCTAGGCAAGTAACAGCATCATTATGTGTTTTGTTGAGAGACATCTCTTTGATTACTGTGCATGAGGCCTCTCACATTCACAAAGATTAATTAAAATTGAACAGGTGCAGAATACGGCAGGAGAGGAGAAGACGTGAGGCTGGCTTGTTCAGCCTAGTAAAATGAAGTCTGAAAAAAATATAACTACAGGCTATAAATACATGGGAGGTTAAATGTCAGCAAGAGAAGAGAGCTCTTTAAGCTCTAGGGTAGCGTTGGAAGAACAAATGAATCTAAACTGGTTAAATACACAGCTGAATTGTAAATTAGGAGAAGATTTCTCATCATTATGAGATTGAGACCCTGGGGTAATATGAGTTGTGGAGGATTAGGGCACAACTTAGCTGTTTTGCACTTGTAAATGTGTTCATGGGATGATACAGAGCAGTTGCAAGGAATGGGACATGCTGGTAGAGACATTCCAGATTTGTACCCCTAAACATTTATTTGTCTTTCTGTCAATGTCTTACAGAAAATGTAGGAGAATGTGAAAACAGTGACTGGACAGAGAAAGGCAAACAAGTTAATGGGTAATAGTTATTCATTTTCTAAATTTTCTCTTAAGAATTCATCTAAGTAGAACATCTGTTTATTGCAATTAATACTTTTGTTTTTGCAGATATGACAACGATATGAGTAGTACTGTGTGCACAATTGAAAAGGAAAATGAAAAAGAAAAGGAACAGGTATGTAAGGTATCTTTTCTTATTCTGTTAATGTGTGCAATTTTGTTTTAACCCAAATCTCACTCCTATGTAACACTTAACATGGTGCTGCTATCAATGAAGCTAGTTTTATGTGAATAAATATGTATGGATTTGCATATACATACAGTTTGCTTATTTAGTTATCTTTTACTGGTTTTGTGCTTCCAAGGTGTTTTATATAATTAAACCAACCTCATCAGAGAATGATTCTATATATCAGGTGTATATGTATCAGTATATATAAAGGCAGTTCCTGTGTAAGGACTGAGGCAGTTCAGGCAAAGGACTTCAGGGTTTGACTCTCCCTTCTTTTCCTTTGCATGAATAATTGCACTGCCACTGCAAACCAAACCACACTGCATATGGCTGTATTACCAGAAAATTGTCTGACTGTTCTGGGACATCCTTGAATCCTATTTTTGTGCTTGATGATGAGCCCTTCTTATATGTTAATCAGTCTATATTCTTACTAAGCAGAACCTACCACCTGCTGAAACAGGGAGAAAAAGCAGAGAGGACAAATACAGTGGGATTTTCAAAGTGATGTGCTTATGTATTGCTTATTCTGCTACCATTGGAGGGTTGACAACAATCACAGGAACATCGACTAATTTGATTTTTGCTGAGCACTTCAATACGTAAGAGACTATATTAAATTATTTGTATTCTTCTTAATCCAGAATTTTAACTGTTCTTCCTTGAGCTCTCAAATGGCTCCCCTAAAATGCATTAGAAACCTTACCCTTTGATTTGATCATACTTGATTCTATTGCTTTCTTTTCATTATTTTTTTTTTGTTAAAGGGTTAAAATGAAATTGCATGGTTGTATTTGACTTACATGGATGATCGTCTGTAAGCGATCATCCAATACATACAAAAAGACGACCGTTCTTTGGTTGAGGAGTATTCTACTCTTTGAGTATTTGCATGGAAAAGGATGGGCTTGTATGAAGAGAAAAACAATACTAAGTTCAGGTCCACTTAGTAAGAAGAATTAGGAGACTTCCAGGAAGTTATGCTTAGTTCATTGTTGAAATGAGAAATTTAGGTCTGTTAATCAATGAGAAAGCAAATCATTTCAAGCCAATCTGAAACTTTATTTTCAATGGAACACTTTGGTTTGAGGTTATTAATTTTTTTTAATATTCCTTTTCTAATTAAAAGTGCTTCAAAATTAAAATTGGCAGGTGCTGTTCCAGACCTTTTGAAAAACCAATAGTTCTTGTTTAACTTTTTTTTTCTTCTGCAAATTACTCATTGCCAGAAATATTCCTACTCTAATTTTAACACAGGAAAAAATAAAACACAATCCTATTATTACCCTCTGCCCAATATTCTATGTTGTAGACAGCAAAACAGTGAAACCTGTATTCTGTGAATGGATGAAATTTGCCTTCAACATACTAGTAAAGAGAGCTGAAGTGATACAGTCTGTAAAACAGTCTGTGCTACAAGAAGGTCTGGTGCAGATAGGAACAACGGAACCAGTATGGACATTATGAGAGATTGCCTGTTACTGGGGCCAAAGAAACAGGGCAGATTGTGGCAGTGTAAGTCCTTCAGACTTTTAAACATGTAAGTTTAAACTTATAAGTTATAAACTTATAACTTTTAAACATATAAGCATTTCTGGTTCAAGCAGGCTTCATACTCACAAGCCTAGGAGAATCCAAGATTGATTACTAGGGATAAGAACTGTTCTTGTTCGTTTCCCCTGAAGTTTTAGCAAACCTGAAGAAAACTGGCTCACAGCTGGTTTTTCAGTTTGTCTTAGCTGTTAACAATCTCTTCAAGAATGCATAAGCAGATTGCTGTTCTCTCCCTGGGTCTTCATCCTCTGCTAGGAGCATGAGGTGTACATGGAGCACTATGTGTATAATCCAGTTTTATACCCCACCAGGTTTTTGTTTAATCTTTACACAACCACTGAGCCTAATCCTTAACTTAAGCTGTATCTACCACCTAACTGTGCAAATATTTTTTCTGTTTAACTGTCTTGCACCCCTCTCCTAAGAGGCCTCATTTGTATTTATGTCCTGTCTGAAGGGGGAATTGACCCATTAGCATGACTTGGACACATTTGCAGTCTACCTTTATGCATTATAAGCATCACAAGGATGATAAATCATAAGCATCATAATGAGCATCATAAGGAGGACAATTCAGCAAGAGAGCTGTATACACCAAGAGTATTCTTGGGTTTCCATCTCAGTGACAAAACACTGAAGAATTCTGTATTCTTCATAACTTCCCAATTTTAGTATTAAATAAACAACAATCAGTGTTTATTGTTCTCCCCCTTCCCTCCTTTTCATTTGTAATATGAAAAAGGTGAAGAGGAAGATCGTATATCTGTGTTAGTGTTGGAGTCTGTGCCTTGCTGGGAATCCTCAGCCTGCTGTTGATTTAGGACACGCAATTAAGCCCTGTTCCACAGAGCAGAAGCAAGCACTGGCAGCAACAATGCTAAGCATCCCTGCCAGTGACCCCAACTTCCCCAAGGGCTGCTTTTCAAGACAGAATTGCTACTAATCCTCTCAGGGTCACTCTATTTGTTCTTTAATTGTGCACAAAGAGACACTACAATACAGTGTCTAGAATATATCCAACTGAAAAAAAAATATATAAATAGTGGCTCTGATACCAAGAAGCTGATCAGAGAGCTGGTAGGCTAAGCATTACTCTGCGCACCACTTCCCATGAGACACCCAGAAGCCTTTACTTGCCAGGGGGCATCAGTGAGGATGACATAAGTTGGTCCTCAATGCTCCCTGACCAGATCCTTAGTGGTGCTGGGTTCCTTTCTTCTGACTCTGTTTTTGCTGATTTTTAGTATTGTATCCCTTTCTGTATTGGTATGTATCCAGTTGAATCATTCAGGCTGCTACAGTCTGCCAAGTACCTCATATCTGCAGTTTTACCTCTCTTATCTTATGTACCTGTGCTGTACAGACTTTCTCACAGCTCTTTCACATGACCAAGCAGTTTCTCCTGAGCTGCAATCCAGGGTTTGCAGCTGGGCTGTATCAGTGGCGCCACGGATCCTAGGAACCTGGGCGGCTGCACCCAGGGGAAAGCTATGGGGAGGTTACAGAGGGAAGCCTGTCATACACAGCACTGCCAAGCAGAGAACTGAGCTCTTCTTTGCTTGAGGAAGAGTAAATCCTGTAAGGAAACCTTTGATTCAGTCAAAGGCTCACTGCCAAGCAGAGAACTGAGCTCTCCTGTGCTTGAGGAAGAGTAAATCCTGTAAGGAAACCTTTAATTCAGTCAGGCTCACTGACAGTTTCCTCAATTTCCCCAATGCCTTTCTGATAACTGAGTTTGACCTTCCAATGTGAAGAATCAAACTTTGCCAACATCGTGTTATTTTCAACCTCAGCAATTTTATAAAAGTCATGAAAAGAATAATCAATCTTGTCTGGATTTGTTCTATGAAACAAGTTTGTTGGCATTTGTACTGTTTCCCTGGAAAAAGTGCACTGTTACTGACCACATCACTGCAATGTAGGAATTATTAAAATCAATCACACTTCTTCATTTTCTGCAGAAAACAGATCTGGAAAACAACTAGTTCAGTGTGTCCTGTCCATGTTTGCCTCAGGCAAGACCTACAAGCCAACTATAGCAGATAATCCAGCCAGTGCTACTTAATAGATAATTTTTGTAACGATTTATATTTATTATCCAATATACCTGAGGAATATTTGCTACTGAAATGAAGATTAGATAACTTTATTATTAAGATTACTATAAATGCTTAAATATATGTTCAGCACTGCACAAACTTACCGTGAAACCTGACCGACACAAATTAATATTTTATAATGGAGTTGACCCTTTAGTATAAAGTTTTAAAGAGCTTGTTTTCTTTTCAATAAGGAATTATCAAGCATATGTCAAAAAATAAGATCATAATACTTAGCAAGTGATGAAATGCTAAGTCATTGCTGTGCTGATGTCATTTTTTCCTATATTGGCGTATGTACATTCAAAAATCAATGTGGCTAATCATGTAATAAAAGCTAAATAGCCATGTAATCTATAAATAGTATATAATAGCCATTTTCACTGTCTCATCACTATGTACAATTGCAATTTACAGCATCCATCTTGAGAAGTGGGTAGGCGTTGTAGTTTAGTCCCAGCTGACACTTTAATTGAAATATATGTCAACATCATAATATATATAAGTTAATCCTAAAAATTGCACAACATGTGAGATAGCATTTATAATAAACGTTTATTGTCTCAATGACCTATGAGACCATTGCATTTGTTTTTCTTCTAGCAAGGCATGAAATACAAAAGATTGCATAATAATTGGAAATAGTCGTTGCAGTCTCCTTCTGGACATTGTGTTTTCCCTTCCATCTGATTTTGCATGAAGGAAGAAAGCTGTCCAAGAAAGCTAGAATTTTCACTTGTAGCAGTAGAAGCTCTCTCAGCAGAGCTGCAGAGGCTCAAAGATGGAAAGAAATCTGTTCATAAAGTAAATTGACAAGCTAAGGTAGGATTCATTATTCTTGCCCTTCTGGCATCTATCTCATTCAACAGTAAATTTTCTTCTTTCAGAAGACCCAAGCCCATTTCTCCTTATTTGAACTGCACATGGCAGAGAGAGCTGTGGTTGTCAGACCCACATCTGCAAACAGCAGATGAAGGAAGCCTCATAGAGACAATGTGACTTGAGAGACAATCCACCTGACAGATAAACATCCCCACCTTTTCTGGAAATTAGTAATAATAAATTTATTTCTAATGAGATTTGAATACCTTTTGGAACCTTTAATAATAAATGTCTCTACATTGTCTCCACTGTTGTCTTCTAAGTTCATTGGAGACTTAAGTATATTTGCTTGTGCTAGAAGTCTCCTTTCAGAGAGCAGCTTTTCCTTGATTCTGCCTGTTTGAAGTCCCAGTGGCCCTTAACACTGTGAGTGGCCCTTCCTTGCCTCCTGAACAGGTTAGATGCACCTAGATCAGTGGGAGACGCACAGATCTGTTGCTGACCCAATGCTCAAACAACTGTGGCACAGCTGCAGGGACAGTTCATGTGGTAGTCATGATGATCAGGAACAGCATGGGAGGGTGAAGAAAGAGGCCACCAGAGGCCACCTCATGCTGAAGGCAGCTGCCAACCAGAAGCACTCTCTTGGAGCAGAGGGCTTTCTGGCACTTCTCACAAGTCTTGATTCCTTTGCTAAGCTTAACTAAACAGTATTTTTATTTATTTATTTTTTTAACTTTCATCCAGACGTTATCCAGATTGCAAGTGCATCAACTTTGGATCCTGGTTTATCCTTTCTATCCCCATCACAGTCGTTATTCTGGTGCTCTCTTGGGTCTGGCTCCAGTGGCTTTTCCTTGGGTTTGAGTAAGTAAATGATGTAATCAATAAGAGTAAAGGTTGATGGTATAAAAGATGCTTTATACCAGGAGTAAATATTACGCCTAGGTTTAACAGGCTTGTTAAAAAGATAATGCAGCAACAGCAATTTTACATCCTTGATTAGTAGAGCTGCATCTCTGGAAGGGACAAGAATTCTCTAAAATAAGGATCCTTGACTACTCAGTCCAGTATGAAAAGTCTGTATCATAAATGATGATATCCCTTCCTTTAAAATATATACACAACATAATTAAGTATTGCATTATTATTAATTATTGCATAATTAAATATTGCATGTGCAAGACTAAAGAGTATGGAAATGATGTGCATTTTAGTCTAAGACCTGAAGATGTTAAAGACAGGCAGGATGTTATTCTTTGCTGGAATCAGGGATTGACTTGAATACTTGAGCAATACCTGTGCTATAAACTGGGTGACTACATTTCTGAATGTAAAGTAAAAAAGTTCATTTTTTCCAAAATTTGTATGTGGTGGCAGGTTTTTCTTTCTCTTGGAGTTTGTGCTTTTAAGGTTTTGCAGAGAATAATATTTCTTTTTGGCTGACTCTTCAAAGCCTTGTTCTCCATGAATTCACTAACACCTGCAGAGATAACAATGGGGCCTGCTGTCTTCCAGTTACATGGTTACTTATGGTGCAAGAGATGAAAAGTGAGACTGCCTGCTCTTAAGCAGACTTAAAATAAGCCCAAGCTTACCATTCTGTATCTGAACATTTATTCTTTCATTTTTTTCTTGATTGTTTTGATAGTGTTCTTTTTAATATTATGGAAGAATGAAAACCTAGCTTGTAGCAACTGTTCTGCTGATCAGTATGCAGGCTACTTATGCAATACAAACTTTTTCATTAAAATACAAAGTAAAGCTGGAATCATGTATGACTTTCATTAAACAGACAGATTATGCTTTTGATTGTTTCAATTAGTTCCCATGATTAAAGCTTCATCCTTCCTGTGAGCAACATCTGAAATGTCCTAAACCCATTATAGGATAAAACAAATGAGCTAGTCAATAGCAGGACACATTTTATTGCTGCCTCTGTCAGTCTCCCACTGGACTTTGCCAATTAATTCCAATGTGCTCAGTTTAGTATGTGATAATTAAATGGGAGACACTGCATTGTAAAGTGAGAAATTTTTGTAAAATGCTATTGCTAACTGGAAGGGGTGGACATTTTTTTTTCTTCTGCATACACTGTTAATCCATCTTCCAATATTGCTGATTTGCCTTCCAGTTTTAAAAGCATGTTCAAGTGTGGCAAGAAAAAAACAGCTAGAGAAGAGGCCTCGGCAAAGGTGATTCAGGAAGAATACAAAAAGCTTGGACCAATGAGGTATGTGAGACTATGAACCTGTAAACAAGAACAAGTAAATCCAAGTGTGAATTCAAGAAAATGTCAAGAAAATAACCCATTGTTTTTCTGCTATAGCTACCCAGAAATCGTTACGCTTATCCTATTCATTTTAATGACCCTGCTGTGGTTTACCAGAGAACCTGGCTTCATCCCAGGATGGTCTTCACTATTCCCAAAGTAAGTAATCTTTTTGATACACCAGTGAGATACACTGCACCATGTCTTAACTGCATACATTCTTTACTTCACAATAAAAAATATAAAAGAAAAAATGGAAAAATGATAGGAAAAAATGCATTTAATAATTTGGAAAGATGCCATGATGACATTTTTAAAAACTTTTGTAGTATATAGAGAATAAGTACAACTCCGGCAGTTCCATAGAGGTGTGTGCTGCAATATCTGAAATGTCCTACACCCATTGCAGGATTAAACAAAGTACCTTCTAAAAAGGATTATGCCTAGCTTTTAGACTTGATCTGGTGATGGAGAAGGCATAGTGATTGGTGTTACTCTTTCCTATTTCCTTGCCAAATCTGCAGTTGCAAGAACAAGATCTTTGGTTAGGATTTTTTGATCTGCTGCCATTAGTGACAGCCCAACTTCTATGCAAATAGGCCAACATCCTCTGCTTTGATAGCTTTAATTATTGTCATAAATTACTATCTGTTCATACAGAACTCTCACAAAGTCACAGTTAAACAAACCATCAAAAAGGAGGAACTAACCAGGAACTGCTACACTTTTTTGTCCTTTTGCTTCAGCTTGCTTCTGCAGTCCCTTCCCCAGGATCACCTAGATGTGTTTTCACTAAGAAATTGCTTGGTCTTCCAATATCTATAATACAGTGATGCCTGTAATAGCTCCTGTTCTCTTGCTGTAATTACTGTAATTTTGGCATTGTTCTGTGATAAAGGTCTGAATTTTGCTCTAGAGTACTGGGAAGTAGTTGGAGGACTGGGAGGAGGGACTGGGAGGAGCAGGACTTTGTGCTGTTTAGGCCCTTGTGGGTTTAACATTTATCACTATCTGAGTCAAAGGCCAGAATTAGACTCAGGTGGTAACTTTCCATTTTGTGTTTCTGTTTCCATGAATGACATGTGCACACACATCCATCATCCTTCCTCTCTTGAAATATGCTCACACCATTCAGGCAGTCTATCAAACACACACACATGCATGCAAACACACAGCAATGCTCTGCTAGTCTGCTAGTACATCTGGAAAGGGATTTGCAAAGAATAATTGTAGCCTTTTGAAGATTTAAGGTGAGGAGGTTTTTTTTTTGTTTTGTTTTTTTTTTGGTAGAAATAGCATTAAGTGCATAAAAACTAAGATTGTTTTAAAATGATTTACTTTTTTTGTTACCCAAAAAATTGCCAAGGAACATTTTTTTCCCTCATAACAACAACAATAGACCTGATGATCATTGTCTCATATGAACCACGGTAATCTTAAAGGGTTTTGGAGTGTTGACCTAATCAAGCAATCAGCCAGCTAAGCAATCAGGCTGGCTTTGCCTCCCTTTCTGCCTGATATTAACATTCAGTGCTCATTGAGCTCCATTTAATGAGATACATCTGATACTGAAAAACAGACCTGGTAAACAACCTTTCAGATTTGGGACTTATTACTCAAATGAATTATTTTAGTCCAGAGATCTACATTTTCTTATTTGAAGCTGTCTGTTTACTGTTGTCTGAGGATTTTGTTCACTGACAGGGAAAAGCAGAATATTCTCATACCAAGAGGGGTTATAGGTTCTGTGTGGGGATGTTACTTAGTGGATGCCCTGAAATGTTTTCCTTGGAAGGGAATGCAAGCATGCGTCATGTCACATCAAGATGAATCACGTTATAATTTCTGTGAGGTAACCTGAAGAGAAACAAAGCCTGTGTTAATCTCTAACTTTTGTTAGAAAAGGGGAAAGAAAGCATGTATTACTCTTCAGACATTTCCTATTTCTAGAAAGCTTTAATTTATCCATCATTTGCACTAATAGGCATCAAACCAGGAATTTACAATTTTACTTTCACAAGCAACATAAAACTTCCCAGTCAAGTTGAGTGGGGTAAGAAGCCAGCACAGGTACAGCTAGGAGTAGTAGTTAACCACCATCTTTAAAGAAAACTAAGGAAAAAACAGGCAAAAGGCATCTATCAATGCATTGCGCTTAATACTGTCATGCCCAAGGGACTTCTATAGTGCATGAACTGTGGCTTACATCTCTCATGCATGTGTTCACTACTGCCTTTGCACACACAACTGTTCAGTGTTTTGCATTGTGGTATAGAGTGACAGGCATGTGCACAACTTCCTTAAATATATGTTAAAGAAAGCAAATGTATGGAAATATTTTCTGCCCTTACATGTATGATAGTACTTATTTTCTACAGGCTTTTATCGCAGTCTTGAGTCAGCCTGAGGGAAGTTCTGTCACCTGCACAGATGAGCTTTGACCTTACTATAAAACTGTCCATGAAACTAGAGGAGCAAAGCTGCAATGTCAGAGCTAAAGTAACTTTGAGAACCCCCTGGGCCATTAAGTGGGAACTTTTAAGTTGGTTTCACAACAGTCCCAGGGTCTTAAACTAGACAGGACCACCCCCTCATTTCTTATAACATACTAAAGATCAGAAGCTGCTACATGTTTCTGTGTGTCAAGCCTGGTAGAGATTTATTTTATTAACATATCTCCCAGAAAGCAACCAGGCTTGATATCAGGGTGGAAAAATATAGATTCCTCATATTTTGGCATTTACCACTTTCTTTGATCGTTTATTCTGGTAGATACTCATCTCTGTTGCCAAAATAAACAAGACAAATTTACACCTTGTTTGCTGTTTGTATGTAGCTTCCAGCCATCTGTTTTTGTCTTTCCCTGCTAGATTACTTTTTTTTTTTTTTTTTTTTTTTTGGTGATAAGTGCTTTAAGGATATACTTACCTGGTTTAATTATATCACATTACAAGCTTCCTTTTGACAAACCAAATGGAATGAGTCAAGTTTTCCTTTAAGAAACAAATTCTTATCACTCTCAGAATCCAAGTTCATGTTTCCAGCCCCTCGTGTGCGTCTTCACAAGTTAACTGAATACTCTTTTAAAATATAGACACCGATTTCTTTGAAATCCCAGCAGAAAGATTGGTATTCAGTGATGATATCCTCCCCACTTTTTGAAATGTCAGGCAATTCTTACCCACATTTGTGCTGTATCAGTATTGAGTAGAGCTCATTTTTAAGAAGCATTAATAGCCATACTAAATCAAATGCCTTTCAAACACACTTTACATTTATAAGTTCATTTTTCTCAAGGAAATTTTGTAAGTCTAGCAAAGACTAATCCATTGCTGTGGCGCCCTGAGCCCCTGTTACCTCCCTCTGGAGGCAGATAGCAGAATGGTTTAATCAATGTTTATAGCACTACAGAGGGAAGTGCAAGGTGAAAATGCCTGTTTCCTCTCCCTCTGTTGACAGCAAAGGATCACACATCGCTTCTTGCTACAGCAGTTTCCACCTATGTCCTGGCTTGATTCCAGGTTATAGGGTATTAGCTTCAATTAGATGAATTTCAAGTTGGCCTTTGGCTAGCATTTTATGAACCTCATAAGAAACAGAAATTTCAACTCTGGGCTGCAGCTCATTAGAGCTGATGTACACAAGGTGGGTTTCCTTCACTCTTCCTCAGGTTTTTGTCTGAGTTTGTGTTGAGTTTGTGTCATCATATTTTCCCCCCTTTTTTTTTCCTCACAGTCCTTTTTTTCTACAATGGTATCAGTTGGAGTTATTGTGAATTTTCCTTGATTAATGGATTTTTTACTTTCTTAAATAACAATCAGATTTCCAGTGTTACAAGCAAGTCAATATTGTATATGCAATTGCATTACGGCTTAGATAAGTAGATTTTGAAAATTATTAATCTCAAAATTCACCAATTATTGAATAGCTACTGTCTGGAAAGGTCTCAAGTGTGTCTCCATAATAGTATGACTAATGGTAGGCTATTGTGTGTGTGTGTCTCCCAAGCAAGTTTTCTGAAAACAGTGTTTGGCACAAGGAATACTGTGTTCTGTGTTTTTTGTTTTTGTTAGCAAAATAATTGCACTTTCCTAGTTGAACAAGAGGGTATACAAAGTCCTGCACCTGGGGAGAAACGACTCCAGACACTAGTGCATGCTAAGGGTTGCATAGTTGGAAAGCAGTTTGGCAGAAAAGGATCTGGAAGTTCTGATGGACACCAAATTGAACATGAGTCAGCAGTGTGCTCTTGCAGCAAAGGACAGTGCAGCAAAGTGCAGCAGGTCCAGGGAGATGATCCTCGCCCTGTACTGGTGAGGCCATACCTGACCTGAAGAATTGTGTCCAGTTCACATATATATATATATATATATATATATATATATATAAAACTATATAAATATCATTTGTAAAATCTATGATTCTGTGATTCTGTATTCATTTTATATATACATATATAAAGTCTTAAAAGAGTGCAGGATAGGATGCTAGAGGAAGGGATTTTCTGATTTTTAACCCCAGTGCACCTGGACCTAGGCTAAAGCTGATATATGGGCAGAACCCTCTGCCTTAAGAAACCATTACAAGCTTGTTTTTTAAAACCATGTTCTGTGCTGGCAGACAACAGAAAACAGGAGACAAAATGTATTAGTGAGCCACTTTAACTGTTATGGCAGGTTCATTTTGTGACAGTTTTAGCTAAAACTATACTGGCTGTGATATCAGTGTGCTATGCATATTAAGGTTTTGTGAATCTCATCTAATGATGTTACAGAAAAGGGATCTACCAGAGTATACATTTGTAACCTATAATTGGAGATGATTTTTCCCTTTTGGTGAAAAGCCTTGATTTAATATAAAACCTTAAGCCTGAGATCTTCTGAGAAGCTATGCATGCACCTACTGAAAATGCAGAGAATTATATAGTATGAGGCTCAGAGGACTAATGTATTGGTTCAGGAAAAAATAATAATTTACAGTAAATATTAAAACATTACTGAGCTTTAAAAACTGTTGGGTTTGACTTTCTTAACATTTTTTTTTTAATTCTATTGAATGACTAAGACTATTTTGACTGAAATAAGATTAGTTATCTAACAGAATCAGGTGGATGTGTTAAGTGTGTGTTAAAATTGCTTTGGCGGTCAGCTTTGCACTTTGCCTGGTCTTTTACTCTGTACTAGTTTGAAGGAAATTGGATCAGCTGAAAAAACACTGGTGCAAGGAATTCTCACGCACAGGAAATGTTCAAAGTAAACACAGCCCTTGTCTCTGTGACCACAGTGGTGACAGCCACATGAGGATAATAAAGTTCTGCTGTCTTCCCTTAGCTACAAGAGCATCATCCTTTGTGGGTAGGCACAGTGCTCTTCAGGCCTGTTGGACTGGATCTATTACAGAGCATATTAAAATTATTAAATTTACCACTGAACTGTGAAAATGAGTTGTTTAAGCAGCAGCTATTCCTAAACATCCGCCTCACCCAGCTTATTCCTGAATGACAAACTAGTGCACGTTTACTCAGGACATGAACTGATGAATTTATAGGACTTACATGTTCTATTTCTGCAGATGTGGCGGGCTGACACTGGCCAGCTGCCAGACTGCTGGACACCAGCTGCCATCTCAGTCCCCCTCCTCAATAGGGCACTGGGAAAAAATATGATGGAAGAGCTCATGGGGAAAGATAAAGACAGGGACACCACATATCAGTTACCATCATAGGTAGAACAGAATCAACTTGGGGAACATTTTTTTAATTTAATCTCTATTAAAACAGATTCAGACAGTGAGAAACAAAGGCCAGTTAAAACAACACTCCTCCTTCCCTTCCCTTTCCTGAAGCTCAAAGTTACTTCTTCATCCTTGACTCTGTGCCCTCCGACCCTGAGTAGCACAGGGAGATGGGGAATGGGGGCTGTGGTCAGTCCGTCACAGCTCCTCTCTGCTGCTCCTTTCTCCTCACACTTTTCCACTGCTCCACCATGGTCTCTTCCGCATGTCTGCAGGGGGATCTCTGCTGCCACGCCTGCAGCACCTCCTCCTCCTTCTCTAACTGTGGTGGTCACAAGGCTCTTTCCCTCATTTATTTTCTTCACTCGTCACCTCCTATGTGGCATTTTTTACTCTTTCTTAAACACATTTTCCCAAATATGCCGCCGTTTTGGCTGCTGGGCCCAGCCATGTCTTGTGTTGGGCCCATTGGAGTGTGCCTGGCTTGGGGCAGCCCCGGCCTCTCCTCACAGGGGAGCCAGCACCTGGGCACAGGCACACAACGTAGCGGACTGTTGTCCTGACTGTATATATGTACATGCTTTTTTCTTGTGTTATTCTTGTTAACTCAGGTACAAAGGCTATGCTACGGATTCAACAACTGCCCTAGTGATTGGCCTCCTGTTCTTTATTATTCCTGCAAAAACATTGTCTAGGACTTCAAATGGAGAAAGCAGTTAAGTATCTTTTGATCTGTGTTTTATTACAATACAGTATTGAAGGTTCGGCCGTAAACATAACACATTGCATTCAGTAGAGGAATGTCTTTAAATACTGATGTCACAACCTTAATACAAGATAATGCCTTGTGGTCAAATATAGGCTCCCTGGCACAGGTGATAGCATTCAGGCAGTGTGAGCTCTGTGAGCCAGTGCTGTACAGCAGCCTGCTGTCTGCAGCCCCCTGGCATCAGTGAAAAACACCTCTCCAGAGACTGCTACAGGCTTTGAATTGGGCTACACGGGGCAGAGATCAAAACCTAAATGAGCCTATAGAGTGTTACCTTGGCAATCTGTATGAACAGTAGAGTTTTGTTGATTAAGTTAGTCTTATTGATATCCCATAGCAGTCTTCCACACAGGGAAGGAGGGGAAAGGGGCCAATGCTCTGCTGGTGGAAACTTTTGTAGCTGTCGTCTTCAAGCTGTGATAGTTTCCAGCAGCCAAGGATCTGTCCCAGAAGTACAGGTTGTTTCTGTCAAAGACTTTATTCAGGTTATAATGATTAGATTTTGCCTTTGAATATTTTCAAAGTATTTCTTCAGAGAAATTATTTCAAGATGTTTTTCAAGATGTTTTTAAATGTTGGTGATTTTTTTTTTTCTTTAGCTGCTTATGGTTACACTCCACTGATTACTTGGAAGGAATTTCAGTCATGCATGCCCTGGGAAATAGCTATTCTTGTTGGTGGCGGGTTTGCATTGGCAGACGGCTGTGAGGTAATGCAATTTATAGAAGATCTGTGCAATTAGCATGACCCACATCAGACACAATTCAGACATGCAGTGGATTCAAGGTTATTCTCTTATTTTAGCAAATTGTTCTTGTAGCAATATTGAACAGGATAAATGTGAATATGCAAGATGTTTACAAAGTGGGGGTAAGAAAAAAAAAGTTTTCCTTGACTTCAGAGGCTATGAACAAAGATGATTACTGTGAATTACTTGTTTTAATTTAAGCCCGATGTGGTAGGAATTGTGCAGAGGTTTCTGAGGTAATTCCTATGCAGAGTCCTGCTGGCTACTCCAGCAAATCAAACAGGTCTTGGCCCAAGATTTGTTTATGAAGCCTGATGTATGTGTATGACAAATTTTCTGAGTACATCTCCTCTAACCTTCTCAAAGGTGCAAATATAAATAAATGGAATATAGCTTGCATGGGTGCCTACATGACAACAATAATTTAGAAAAATGTACTTAAAAACATGTGGTAGGAACATGGAATTATTTCAGATCTTTTTTTTTTCTATTTTACACAAATACTTCATAATTAACAGATGAGTACATTCCTGTTCAATACCATTTCATTATAGTTTTCTGTTCAGTGTTTTGTAAAACATAATCCTGTTGTCATATTTCTTGTGCAGGTTTCAAAACTGTCTGCCTGGGTAGCAAGTAAATTGACCCCCCTAGGATCACTACCCCTGTGGCTAATTATCCTGATATCATGCCTTATTGTCACTTCCGTAACAGAAGTTGCCAGCAATCCAGCCACCATTACGATATTTTTGCCTATATTATCTCCTTTGGTGAGTATCATAGAGGTTGCTTTTAACCAGATTGTGCTCTGTCATCCATGTAGCTGCTCAAAGAAGCAGTTTTTTTAAAAGTCTACATAAAGTACTTCATAACTTCTTTTTTTCTTTATTGCCATGTTCATTGGATAGCTGGTTGTCTTGTCTTTCTTACAAGAGATGCTGTATCAGTAAAATTAAGATAAACGTGCAATACTCAAAAATTGAAGCTCTTACTCCTATTTGAGTATAATGGAAACACTTGAAAGGACAACTCTCACAGTGTTTCTTCAGAACCAAATCTTCAAAAAAAAAAAAAGGTTAACAGTGCACCATTCAAGCTGTCACCAAAAAGAAGAGAGGTCTAATAGATGTGCTTAGACGTACTTCTCATTTCTTCTCTCCTTTCCTCATTTTTTTTTTTTTTCTCATTATCTTTATCAAAACACCCAATTCTTCTTCAAAACTTACTATGGCTATCTTCTTGTCTTCGCCACTTGACCAATCTAGCCATACACTAATCTCCATTCCCTCTCTCACAAGAAAACTCAGTCCTCACTACATTGAGTACCTCCTGCACATTATACACAAATTCAACTTCATCATCTTTCTGGCAGTGTTTTGGTTTTAGTGCTTGTGCTGTGCCCACACTCTTTGCAAAAGTTTTTTATGTTAGAGACTCAGCTACAATTAGAGAAAAATCAGGTGTGAATTTAGGGTTCATTAACTATCCTGTGCTAGAAATACCTGTTCTCCTCTGGAGCATTCTCAGATATAATCTTATAAAAGAGTTACCAGAAAAGGTTATTTTTCACTATTTAAGCTGGCAGTTTACAGTTTGCTTGTGTTAATATAGTAAGTTTGCATTTATGTATTTCATTTAGCAAATGCATCCCCTGACAGCTGTTCTGTTTTATTTTTCTTTCTGCAGGCTGAAGCCATTCACGTGAACCCACTCTTCATTTTGATACCTGCCACACTATGTACTTCTTTTGCATTCCTTCTTCCAGTAGCAAACCCAGCCAATGCCATTGTGTTTTCATACGGTCATTTAACTGTAATGGATATGGTGAGTTTTAAGCAACACTATCCAAAGGGATAATCACTCTGCAACATTATTGTCTGATTTTTACCATTTTAAAAACTTTCTTCACAGACTTGATATTAGTATTTGATTTCTTTTCTCCCTCCTTTAGGTGAAAGCTGGTTTGGGCATTAACATCATTGGAGTTGCTGTTGTTATGCTTGGAATTATGACATGGATAGTGCCTATATTCGATCTCTATACTTACCCAAGTTGGGCACCAATCATTTCTTCAAACAGCACAGGGTTGTAAAAAACAAACTAACAAACAACACACCACCACAAAACGTGGGGATTGGTTTGGATTGTTTTTGTTTCTTTTCTGTTCCACTGGCATGTGGTGAGTCACTTAAAATGCTTTTTGTCACCATAACAATAGGGATCCCCATTAGTGTAAATGCCTTATTCCACAGTCCAAGAGACTGATGATCTGTTCTGAGAGTCTAATCAGGAAGAATGTTAGACTTTCTAAATATCATCAAGTCAGATCAAGTTTCTAATATAGTTCAGCTAGTCTGAACATTTATATCTTCATGTTATGAAGGAAAAACTAAATGTACATAGCTATTGTCACTGGCAGTTTGCCCCCATGCTCAGGGTAGAGAAATAATGAGATTTAGATGTTATTATTTCAAGTGTCTATTCTTACTATGACCCCTGGTGACATTTGGGTTTTGTCCAAGAACATACTGTTTTTCTGTTTTCTAGATTCAAATGCTATTTGAAATGGTGTTGATCATAAAAAAAAATCAGGTTGGGGAATTGTTTTGAACGTATGGTTTACAGACCTGTCAAATGTGCAAAAAAGGGAGGAGAGCAGCATGGTCACTTAGACAGCACTTTATCTGTTAAGCACCTTGTAATTTGGAAGGAGAATATATACTTAAGCATATGTTTAAAATCTACCTCCTTCCAGGACCTCACTGAAACACGTCATAGTTGTATATGTTGTCTAGAATTTTCCTGTATAAACATGAATTGATAGATCTGAGTTGATCAATATGAATGGAGACTAAATTCTCATCATGCTTCTCTGTCAAAAGTAGAGATATATCCTCCTGGTGAATGAAAGCACAAGACAGAGTGCTGAAGATGTAACGCTCAATTCATCAAACAAGACTGTAGTGCATCTTCACCAGGAGGTGCATGACCTCTACAGGACAGGTTTAAGGATTCTAGTGTATGAATTTTAGAAACAAAAAAGTGCAATGTAGTCAAAAGAAGCTTGCAGTTCAGAGATATCTTCAGCTACTGAAATTGTATATAACTGTTGTATGTTTTCACAGTAAGGACTATGGAGTTGTTTTTTCCACCTGTTGGGAGGACACATGACAATTTGTAAAGAGTGTTTAGTTAATAGTGTGAACCATATTTTCATGTATTTAGGTTGGGTCATCCCTTGGGGAACCTCAGTGACGGATGAAAGCCTTAATCTGTCTTTTATAGATCCTGTAAATTATTGATTTTTCCTACCAAAAAAAAAAAAAAAGCCCCTCCCAAAAAAAAAGCTTTAGTTTTTTGATTAGATATTTTACTTTTTTATGTTTATTTTTGTTAGTGTGCATTTAGAGTAGAGATATCAGCCATGCTGTCTATAATGCCAGAATACTATGTATAGGATTGTTATATATAGTTTCTTCTATTAGCTACAGGTTGCAGGTTCAGCTGCGATGAATTATTGGAGTGAAGACGCACTTTCTCTTAATGATGATGGTTCTGTGTACTAATTGTTATCTGTACGTGCCATTACACTTTGCCAACATGGCTGAAGCTGCTATCTCTTTAGGATGGCTAACTTCTTTCTTTTCTTTTTTGTACTTTTTGTACAGTGCCTAGCAAGATAGGGCTATGTCAATGACTAGGCCAATCATGAGCTGCCACTGTGTGAGTGTTAATTGATACACTGCAGTAATAATTATGGTCACAGATATGCAACACCTATCTAAATGAAGCCTCACCCAGTACTATAGGAGAATGTATATGCAAATAGCTAATCAAAGACATAGGTTTTACTGTGTCTTCGCAGAAGGATGTGCAGCACAGAAACAAGGAGTTCATGGTTTATATAGTCCCTTGATCCTGATGGCATAGAGAAGAAAACCAGCTGAGACAGTGTTCTTACTATAAGGTTCCCAGGTCTTACATTTCCAATTGAGTCAATAATTTCCAGATTATTCAAGAGCATTGGAAACAATGAATCATAGAATATTTCCTGTGGGAGGGACCTCTGAGGACCATCTTGTCTGACCTCAGTCAAAGCAAGGTTAGCACTGAGTTTGGGTTGCTCAGGGATTTGTCTAGTCACATCTTGAAAACCTCCAGCATGGAGACAGCAGGGCTACCCTGGGTACTTCAGTGCTTTTCTGTCCTCTTGGTGTATATTTTTTGTCTTTAAACAAATGAACAAACATACTGTATTCGTTTTAGTATTCATTTTGTGGAATAGACTTTTTTTTCCCTGCCTTTTATTTGGGAAATAATATTTTCTATGGGAAAAAATGCTTTTTATTTTTTTCACAAAACATAAGGGTAGGGGAAAGTCCTCTTTGTGGCTTGGCATTCACTACTCTCAGTGAAAGTGGTATTTTCAGCCTCTCCTGGTCTGCTCTGCAAGGAATTGACAGTATTTTAATCATGTGACAACTGCTATTCAGCAAGAGGAAATTTGTTAAGTGCTTATGAGCTGTCCCTGGTTTTGTTAATGTTAAGAATACAAAACTGACTGTTGTAACCTCAGCCTTGAATGTACCATTGAGGCCCACAGAGGTCCACAAATGCACTGTGCTATTAAATTGTGCTTTGACACCTGTATTCTCTCTTGAAATTGTGTATCTTCATGGAAGAAACTAATCATTTTGAACCATTGAAGAGAACTCTGCAGAAGTTATCAACTCTGTAGTAAGTGACATTGTTTTCAGCATAAGCTGAAGCTCAGTTTGTGCTGGATAATTCTCAGCCATTCCTTTGCTCTACTTTTTGGTTTATTCGTAGGATCATAGACAATATGTTGAGAAAGACCCATGTGTAAATCTGAACTCCCACATAATGCAGACCACAGAATTTCCCTAAACTAAGTAATTTTTTTCAGGATCTACCAGATCCTGAAAAAGATTCTTGCTTTGTAAAAAAGAAAGATTTAAATTATTTAATGAAGAATGCACTTTAAAAACTATTTTTGCTACAATCTGTGTACAGAGTAAATTATGTGCAAAGAGAGAAGGAAGGGATTTATAAAGTAATGAAAGTTAAAGTTGTTTGCTGTGCCATGTGTATTTATAAGTTACCAAAATGAAATGCAGAATTATAAATAAACTGTCAGTGACCAGCATATTAACTGTCACAATATGATAAACTAGTGACAAAAATGAAATGATTGAGCATGAGGTTTTTGACAGATTGTATGCTGTATGCAAACCAGTCATGAATAAACAAGTTGGTAGTAGTGGAAAGGTAGTGTTTCACTAGCATTTTTTTCTTGTTTTGCTAAAACTGTAAGGAATGGGTCAGACACAATCTTTGAGCTAAGCTGACATTATTGCTAACTTATTTTTAAACCTTCTAAGGACCTTTTTACGTCAAAATTAAGATCTCTGCAGAGCAGAGATTAATACTGATGGAAATTCCTCACCTGAGAGTGTTGAGATGGAGGAAAAAGGAGCTCAGAAGGCTTGGCTCTTGGTACCCTGTGGGTGGCTTTGGCTCTGCGTGCAGACACAGCATGCCATGCTGGCTGTGTGCTCCTTCCCGGCACTGTGAGATTCCTTGCTTTGCCCAGAGTTTGTCAGTATTGTGGCAAGTGGTGGAAATGCATCTACAATCGTTTTAAAAGTTGATTAATATACGATGACTGCATCAACTATTTGTAAATTGCTTTGTGCATAATTTCCATATAGAATATTGTATTTTTTCTTTGTCTCAGATGAGTCTAATTAGACAATTGTATTATTACATAAGTAATATTTATGACATACTATTTATTTTGTGGTCTCATTCCTACTGAATTAAATGAAGCCTTTGTCATATACTTCATCAGGGGAGATGTGCCAGGTCTCTGTTCCCCTTTCCTATGGCTGTACAATATCTAATATATTTTCACTTTGCTTTTGGAGGATGTGTTTTTAGATTACTAGTAACCGCAAAACAAGTACACCCTGGAAAAAGCTTCTGCACTGTTCCATTACTACACACATCAGTCAGATCAATCTTGCAGTGTAAATTCCCTAATGTACTTTTAAAATGAAGTACCTGTGTTTGTTTACTAGTTTAAAGCAACCGGGTCTGTAGCCTGAGGGCTGGCTGAGCAGCAGTGCAGCAGCAGCTCCAGAAGGGTGGAGTGAAAAAACACACACCACACTTTACCCTTTTTTTCAATTTTTTGATTAGGTGTAGATACCAAGACAGTTATCATACTAATTACAACAATCTAAAGACTGCTGTATCCTATGTGCAGCTGCTGGCAGGACCCAAAGGCTGTTTCTGTGGTTAGTGATCCCTTAAATACAGAGAAGTCCATTCCTGCCACCTCTCCTGTCCTGCTGCTGGCAGCCCACACGGATGCCAGCTGCCCTGATGGAGTCACGCTGCTGCCCACAGCAACTTGGGGCTGGGGAGATTCCCCAGAGGCCAGGTCTGCACAGATGTCAGATTACTTTGCAGCTGCCTGGTGATAAATGATAACTAAGTTATCAGCTTAGTTCTTTGTCTGTGCAAAGTTGATGTCATGATTTGCGTTTTTTAACAATTATCAAACTCTTTGTCAGTGCTATGCTTTAATACTTTTGCATTGTGCTCTTGGAAGCTGTTGTATGTTCCTTTACCTGTGCAATGTTCAATTGCTGTATGACATTTCTTTACACGACTGATTTCCTATTTTTAAAATAAGTATTTCCCAAATGCTGTACAGTCTAACATTTATTTTGTGATAAATTAGCAGGATCTAAAACTGTGGTGTGTGAAGAACGGTTGTCTTTCAATAAAAGTGCCTGAGATTTCTTAAACCTTTTTTTATTGTATGCTATCTTAACCCTGATATATATGGTGGAGAAGAGTACCTGATGAGAATAATTTAAACTTACTGGATATTGAAAACCATCCACTTTTAAAAGAATTTGAAAAGGAGAAAGGTCTTTGAGCTTTATAAAGCAATTAAAATAAAAATTCTGCTTTCTGGCAGGTTCCTCTACAAATACAAAATAAATATATCATAGTCTCTAAATGCTTGGTGCCTAATTAGAAATTCAGAAAGCAACATACATACCAATGCAAAACAGACCCTAGTTGATTCAGTGCCCCTTGAAGTCAGGGTGTATCATTATAGGTTGCAGTGCTGGAGCAGCCCCTCAGGGATGTCTGGAAGAGTTGCCTTCCAACCACTTTATTTGGTCATCCTTTGATGAAAAGCTTCAGGTTCTGCCACATCTGTTTCTGACAAATGTAGAAAATTGGGTGTCAAACTCTAAGGTGGGATTCATATTGCTGTCCTAAGTTTTCAAAACTCCAGTACAAGATACAGGGCATAAACAAGTTATCACTGAAGAAACAGCAAGCTAATACACCCAAACCACCCAAAATAAAACACTAAGGAGAAGTTAGTGCCTGAAACTCTCTTCTTGGGCATCAATCCAAGAGTGCTGCAGGGCATTTTTGTGAGATCTGCTTCTTTCACTTAGAGATTTCTCTTTCCATCCTCCGACATCCTCTAACAACACAAGATGCATGAAAACTTCTTTTGTGATCACTCCTCAAATGCTGAGAGATTTGAACCCAGAGTATTTATATCCCAGAGGAGAGACCAAAGTTACCAGGTATAAGATGTATTCTCCTGACAGACTCCATGTAGGCAAGAAATTTATAGTCATGAGCCTGAAAAGGATAGCTATAAGCCAGTAGCATGGGCAGCCAGCTGTGAGGGGAAGGTCTGGATCTGGCAGATGGGACCAGAATCACACTTTTGCCCTCTCCCAGTTTTTACCCTCCAAGGAGTGGGAAGAGACCTTTGCCCCTGGGAGCTAAGGGTAAGAGTGTCTCACTGCAGCAGGATCTTGGTCCTACACCATGCAGACAGACATGGGCACAGTAACATCAAGACATGCCTAAATTATGAATCAGTCTGAACAGACTGAGAGAGTAATTTAATATTTCCAGCACTAAGCAGGCAGGCAGATTCATGGATTTTTCTTCAGCTTTTGGGCACAGAAAAAACAAAAATCCAAAACGTGTTAAATACAGACGTTGGATCTTTAGGGCAGGCAAATTTCTTTAACTAAAAATAAAACCAAAAGTTTTTAATATAGGTGGCTTTTTACCACAGGATTCACTGGGATTTATTAGGCTAAGAGGCTTGGCCTTTACAGTACACAGAGCATCACTGAGATTAATTGTTCTTCACACTGAATATTGTAATTCCCTCTGTGATGTCCATCTTTACCTGTGCACATCATGAGCATAGCTAGAAAAGCAGACATAAGCATATGTACTAGAGCTACACAACATAAGCATTCCAGACACGTGTAACTAAGCCACAAACATTTCATAGCATTTACTATTTGGCTCAGTTGAAGTAAACAGAATAAAAGTACCTTGTTTATTGTAGCACTTGCTTGAATTCATAACACACGACAAGAAAATGCAAAAGAATTTTCTACCCTCCTAGACAATTTCTCCAAACAATTGTCCTTTATCAGTCTTTTATTTTGCCTTGCAAGACACTGCTTGTTATTGCAAAAATATATAAATAAAAGGAAGAAGGGGAGGGAGAAGTGTGTTTGTATGTGGGGGACAACCAAGAAATGAGATGGGAAAGGGAGTAGGGAAGAAGTAAAGGAAGGCATGAAGAGAGAGAGAGAGAGAAGCTAACCTACAATTTGCAGTTCTGAGTCTCACCTTTCAAAACTGGTAATGATCCATGTATAAGACTGACAACTTTTGCTGACATCCTTCACGGATTTGAAAAGTTCAGTTTGCATAATATAGAAAACCATGTGCTGGCTAGTGCTTTCTTTAGATGCTATTATAATGCATCAGAGGAGAAGGAAATGGATGGCATAGATAGTACCATAATTTTCCCTGTTCACACTGTGAAAGCAGATGGAGTTTTGTGCCCATTAAGAACAATTCTTCAACTCCAATAAGCCATTAAACCTTTCCTGGTTGCACTGCACAATTTCAGTGTAGCAATTATAGAATTCATGGCTTAAGCAATATCTCACTGATGGTATTTTTAAACACCACTCTTGAAATTCTTAGGTGTGGAACACAGTTCATTTAATAATGGATTATGAGTAAAGCCTTTTAATCAGAGCCAAACTTCCCAGTGCTTTCTTGCAGCCATTTACCACCTCAGTCTTGAGTTGTGTTGGACTTCCAGGGTGGTTTTACAGACCACACAGATAAAATAGATGTATTATGCATGATGCTGACAAGGCCAATGAAAGCTATATGAAGTTACCAGGAGCATGGGAATTTTCTGCTTCTGCTACACCACCACGTGTGGACTAAATTGCAGGAAATCTCAACCTCTTCCTAGCTAATGAACAGATAGAATTTCCCCTTCAAAGCTGGCAAAGCACAGGGGCCGACAGCAGATGTTGGTCCAGCCAGACAAACATCTTGTCTGTAAAGCTCCCTCACACTGTATGACAATCAAAATTAGCTACATGTTAGCTGGTCTCTAGAGCAGCCTTTCCCAAGGACTTTACCTCACTTCATCACCTGGGAGTACAGATCCTGAGGTGGTCTTCTGACGGTTGGTACCATTACTGGCAGTTTGCAGCCCAAGGACATGTCCTCAACCTGACTCAGCTGCTTAAGCAGGCTCCAGAATGAGTGCATCTTGGGACCTCTTCCTCCTCCACAGCTGACAAATGCCAAGCTATCTCTGATTTGAGGCCAATGGGGTGTTTTTGTGACAAGTTAATAGTGTTAGCATAAATGTGAAAAATACTGAAAGAAAACAGTAGTACTAATTATTGCTAGCTACTGTCTTGTGTAGGGCCGTAGCAAAATTGGAAAACTCTTCTAGGCTAGCAAAGCAAGTGAAAATAAGAAAGCTTTTGAGAAAATGGTGAAAGACAACATTAATGGAAGATTTGAGCTAGTTAGCAGTGTGTCAGATCTGTAGAAAATCCCACTCATTTTACCCAAAGAATAGTTTTAAGCCCTTTCAGTGTGATTACCCAAAGTAGAGAGCCACATCCTGCTGCAATCCATTTGTAAATAAAATTCATACACTTTTCCTATATAAATAAAATCACATCACTTGATTATGGTTGCAAATTAAATAGAACTGTTTCCCAAGATACGTGCTCCCCTAGGATAAAATTATGCATCTCAGCAGGACTAAGCAATTCATTGCCAACATTATATTGGTTTGTTTCTTAATTGTGAAAATAGCTGAAGATTGATTAGAATGAGGAATTGTTGGGTTTGGGTTTTTTATGATTTTTTTTTTTCTTGTGGCTACTAAGACCTCAAAGCACAAAAACAGAAAACTGTTTTTGCAGCTGCTTATTACTACAAATTCAAAAGGGAAATATTTCTTTGTAATTTTGCTTGTAGCCAAGACAGTATTGAAACTATATTAACAATCCTCGTAAATGCAAAAAGCGTAGTAAAAAACCAAATGGTTTGAATTCAGTTAACACACTAGCATTTATAAATGATAATTCTGCTGTTAACTTTAGGAGGTACCACTACAGCTAGAAATTAATGAGAAAAAAGCTCTGCTTTCAACTAATTGCCAAGTTATGTAGAGAAGCATTCAACAAAGTAGAGTTACAAAAAACTGCATAATACAGATTATAATCCCTGATATATAATCTAAATTTTCCTCAAATAAAGCAGTCCCATCTCAGATAGCCCCAGAGTACCTATTGACCAATTGTTGATCATTATTCTCCTTATAGGATGATTTTTTTGGTCTGTTTTTAATATGTAGAGCTGCCATTCTGTCACTTACTCAGACTTCTGCTTTTTAGCCTACAGTTCTGTTGTATCTGTACATTCATGGGCATAATGTCAATGGCCAGTCACAGGTGGAGAAATTCAGCATGTGAAGAGAGACAGTTTGTAATGTATACCACGTGTACTGCTCATGTCATTATCTGTGTGTGGTGGCAGCAGATCCTTTTGGAAATTCGTTTTTTTTTTTTCATATAATAATCATTTTCTAAATATTTTATAATTTCTTCTCATGGTCTTGACACTTCCCATTATAGTCACATCCCTCCTGAACATGGGGGTGCCCATAAAGGTGGAGGTCCCTGTGGATACACCATGGATCCAATAATATAGGCAGATGTAGCAGATAAATATAGCTAAGGCCCAGCAGTTCTGACAGCAGTGCAATAACTGCTTTAGACCTCACATTTTTGTTCATGCATACCAACATGCAGACTGCATTTTTTTTTTTCTTTCATCTATTTAGAGAAGCATCTGTTTCTGATCCACTATACACATTGAACTTTGAACATGGTGCCCAGTTAAGTCCTCATTTTTTACTTGTGCACTAGGTATTGCCTTGCTAACTGGAGCTCTCTGCACTTACATATTTTTTTACTTATTATTATTTCAGAGCATTTATACAATTCAGCAAGATATTTTTGTATTCTAAATCTGTCTCCAAAGAGCTCACAACCCATAAGACATTTCTGTTGGCCGATTTTATTATAGCATTTTCTTATATATGAATTAAATCACAGATGAAACTAAATCTCACAGAATCAGGATATTCTCCAAGATAACCTATAGGATATATGCTGCCACTTTTTTAGCAAGCAACCACTATTTTTTTCAGTGCAGACTTTGAACACAGATGTATGCCCACTCTATATACTTTTCTTTGTTTTATCTCCCTAGTTTGCTCATGAGTATGTCATGGAACAAAAGCCTTTCCAAAGCCAAGATACATTACTTTTACTGCTTCTCCATCCACTAGACCAGTCAAAGTCACCAGGTAGTTAGAGAAATAAATTGATTTCTTTGACATGAGTTGCTCTTG